TAAGTGAATATAGTAGCCTCAGCTAAAATCCACAATTGGTTTGTCAGTTGTTTTCTGTGCTCATGACCATTAGCCTACTATGCGCATTTTTCTTAGTATTTTCAATCAAATTCAGTGATACATACTGTATTTGAGTGTATACAAGACCATTCTGCACATTTCAGCAGGAAATATTAAGAAAATATTGTTCAGTGATCACTGGTTTGTTTGTTACTATTTTATGACATATCAACCACTATAGGTCATTTCACAGGTTAAAAAAAAAAGAAAAAAAAAAAGGTTATTACAGTTAGGTAACAAACTAGGTTGGATTACATGTATTTGTTGGATTATATACATTTTGGGGAGCTCCAATTATTTTAAGGGACTGATAGTTTTGGAATGGTTTATCAGCCTTTAGTAGGTATGCATGTGTGAGATATGTATATCCATAATTGGATAATTTGTTTTTTGCAGGAAAATATTTCTTAGATAGTAAGAATTTTGGAGGATATTAATGATATAACGATACAAATCTTGCTAATTAACCCATTGCTAGGGTCAGAAGAGGTGGATTCATATCTTTCCAAAATATATACACATAAGTGAATATCATTAACCCAAATGGAATTGGAACTAGGCTCCCAGAATTCCAATTCTGAGCTGTAATCCATTACACTACCCACACATCCAAACTTATAGCACCTGATATTCTCAAGCAGTGACCCATCTAAGTACTGGCCAATCTCAATGTTGCTCAACTTTAAAGATTGTATGAGAACCAGTGTTTTAAATATGTATGCCCAAATTAAGTTAGTATAATATCTTGCCTCCATTTAGTTAATAACTGTGTTTTCAGATCCAACAATTGATCAATGTTCATAGTTCTTGATCCGGAACATTGTTCTATATTGTCCGCCATTTGATTCTTACCGGAACATTGTTCTATATTGTCCGCCATTTGATTCTTGCCGGAACATTGTTCTATATTGTCCGCCATTTGATTCTTACCGGAACATTGTTCTATATTGTCCGCCATTTGATTCTTACCGGAACATTGTTCTATATTGTCCGCCATTTGATTCTTACCGGAACATTGTTCTATATTGTCCGCCATTTGATTCTTGCCGGAACATTGTTCTATATTGTCCGCCATTTGATTCTTACCGGAACATTGTTCTATATTGTCCGCCATTTGATTCTTACCGGAACATTGTTCTATATTGTCCGCCATTTGATTCTTACCGAACATTGTTCTATATTGTCCGCCATTTGATTCTTACCGAACATTGTTCTATATTGTCCGCCATTTGATTGTTCTATATTCATTTGATTCTTACCGGAACATTGTTCTATATTGTCCGCCATTTGATTCTTACCGAACATTGTTCTATATTGTCCGCCATTTGATTCTTACCGAACATTGTTCTATATTGTCCGCCATTTGATTCTTACGGAACATTGTTCTATATTGTCCGCCATTTGATTCTTACCGAACATTGTTCTATATTGTCCGCCATTTGATTCTTACCGAACATTGTTCTATATTGTCCGCCATTTGATTCTTACCGAACATTGTTCTATATTGTCCGCCATTTGATTCTTACCGAACATTGTTCTATATTGTCCGCCATTTGATTCTTACGGAACATTGTTCTATATTGTCCGCCATTTGATTCTTACCGAACATTGTTCTATATTGTCCGCCATTTGATTCTTACCGAACATTGTTCTATATTGTCCGCCATTTGATTCTTACGAACATTGTTCTATATTGTCCGCCATTTGATTCTTACCGAACATTGTTCTATATTGTCCGCCATTTGATTCTTACCGGAACATTGTTCTATATTGTCCGCCATTTGATTCTTACCGGAACATTGTTCTATATTGTCCGCCATTTGATTCTTACCGGAACATTGTTCTATATTGTCCGCCATTTGATTCTTACCGGTACATTGTTCTATATTGTCTGCCATTTGATTCTGCGTCTTTACCTATTATATCAAGTTCCTAACGTTTTGTACGTCGAACCTATTTTAGGAGCGACTTAGTACAAATACAAGCCTCCACTGTGAAACCACTACATAACAATTCGATGCATTTAGGATTCGGATTCATACGGAGGAAGAAAAACCTTTTTGTACTACATAACAATAATGAAGTTGAAATGGGAAATTCATCCTTACATGACATTCATCAGATATAAAATTTGTTACTATCAATACAGCATTCCTTATCTGGTCAGCTGAAGTCAGAGTCATTTTATCAAGATGGAATTTGAAAACATCCAGAGAATAGACATCAGATCATAAAAATTCAAGAAAATATTTTGATGATTAAAATATATGTATTAGTTAAAATTAACTAATTTTTAATGAAAACCGTCGTGAAATTTTTGCACACACACCTAATATATACGAGCAAAATTTCAGTTTTTCACATTTTTCAAATTGCCTTTACCACTACTCTTCCATTTATTATTCTTGCTTAACTTTAATCATTTCTGGGATTAATAAACTAAATCCACTTACAGAAAATAAGATTAGAACACACTGAATGTCAATTTTGATCTGGGTACAGTAGGTATATGCTAATGGGTAGTTAATATTCTGATAACATTTTCAAAGTCTTGTGATATAGTAACATTCATGACAGTGCACTGTCTGAGCTTTAAAAGGTGCCATAGAGTCCAGTGTAGTGAAAGAATACATTTCTCTTTTTTTTTTCAATTAGAGCTATTTGAGAAAGGTTGGATAGTGAGTTTTTTTTTATTTGTATCATTATATGTATGCAAGAATAAAGTCTTATGTTAACAACCAAAGAGATTACACAGTGTGTTAATACATGATTTGTATAATCCCTTATTTTGGAATGTATACACACATTGATTTGTATATGTGATGCAGTTATATTGCCTGTACGTTCAAACCTGAGTAATTTGAAACCGAATTCTGGATTTAGCAATTTTATTTTTTTTGTTAGAGTATTTTTTGTTTTTGGTCATTGATAAAGAGATAAAAAAAAATTATTGATTACACATTTAATTTTTTTAGTTTATTATCAAAAAATTATTTGAGAAAGTATTGATATTCATCATATATATCGAGCATTGAAACAGGATCAGGAATTAACAAAGCTTTACTGACAGAATAGAGCTATAATAACTAATGCATATAGACTATGCAAATACACTGCTTATGATTTTATCCCTGGAAGCGCATTGTACATCATTTTACCCCTGGAAACACAACATACATCATTTTAACCCTGGAAGCGCACCATGCATCATTTTAACCTGAAACACAGTGTCTTTCAATGGTAAGTATTGAAAACAAACACTGATACTAAAATAGTGCTGTTATATGCATAATCTAAATGCACTACTGATTATTTTACAGTTAGAAACTACTACATAAATACATAGAGAAATCAGTAAAACAGATTGTCAGGAATTAATACAGCTGTTAATAACAGATTATCATTATGATATGTATAACATAAATACATTGCTAATGATCATAACAGAGTAAGCACTGCAAGGTATTTTTACTAGAAATGTACACAAAATCAGGAAAGGATTGTCAAAAATTAAGGCAAGCATTGATGACAACAAAAGAGACATTATATGTATAATTATACAATCAAACAGCATTGTGTAATGCTATTTAGATCAAATTAATCATAGCTTCTCATTTAATGTATAAGAAATCATACAATCCTTTTCTCTTTAAAAGCAACACTCGTGCATCATTTTCAACTTTATCCTGTTGATTACTAATTATCTTGATTCATTTCACCTCAAATACAGATGATTAGACTTTAAACCCCAGAGCAGTGGTTCCTAAACAGTGTGGCACATTTCATATGTGCAGTAGAAGAGGATAACAGGTGAGGCAGAATGATTGAAAGACAATCAAAGATTTAGAAACAGCTTCAAAAAATTTATATGCAAAAATAAATATGATTACAAAATTTAAAATATTATTATGGATTACTTGTAATTGCATGCTTGAATCCTAGTTATAAATTTTATAATGTGACTTTATATATTTATCTGCCACATATATAATAATCTTCCTTACTTAGTAATGAGATATTTAATCATTGTGTTAACATGGTTGATACAACAATGAAACCAAACAGATAATAGATTTCTTTGATTTAACCTTTGGATATTATAAAGAATTCTTTTTGATTTTAAAATAATATGTAACAGAGTTAATTATATAAAGAGAAATCATAATTTACTCATTCAGAAAATATTATGAAATTTAATTTAACAAGATATTCTCAAATAAAATTGGTGAAAAGTTTGTACAACTAGAAGATTTATTTAAAGAAAATGTTTATTATATATAGAAAACATTACAATAATTGCATACATACCCAACGTGAGATTGCAAAACTAAGTGTTTTTTTATGTCATAATAATTTTTAAAAAGTTATTGGCACAACCAATATTTTTTTTGTCCCAATGTTAAACAAAAGGGTTTCCAAATTGGGTTACATTTGAAAGCTCAGCCCAAACTGAATTTCTTCTTGTGAGTATCCAAGATTAGCACATCTGCTTTCAAAAGCAGCCCAATTTAGAAACACTGGTCAAGAAGTTGAAAACAATTCTGACTTCTGGAATTATGGTTGAGAGTTCTTGCTTTATTCGTATCTATATAAAGGAGAGAATCAAAGGTTGAACAAGAAATGAGGTCTCTTTGTCAGTCAAACAAGGAACCAATTTTATCTGGCCATCTAAGAATAGGAATGTTTTAAAAGTCACTATTTTTACTAATTACCTACTTGCTTACCATTGTGGCTAGCTGGTTATTTTATTTTTAATTCTCCAAACTTTTGTGTAACTCCCTATGTACCATTGTATAACGCTGTTAATAAGTCTCCAGACCATGTGTGAGCAGAAGCAGAATAAGTGACACAAATCTCTTGTCAAAATCTTACATATCTAGAAGACATAAGAAAACAAAATGGCATTGCGTATTGTGATAAATAAAAATTAAGTAACTTACCATGAACAGCATAAAACTGGACCCAGCATGCATCAGTGGGCTTTCATTTCTAAAAGAACAAGAAAAGAAAGGAGATAAAACCTATTTTAAAACATTCAAATCTAATGATTCATTTAAGACTATCATTTTGTAATGCAAATTAACTTATGAGTATTTATTAATATCAACTTAACCTAGCACAAGGCCAAATCCATGATGCACCCAGTGAGGAACAAACTCACTACATTAGTACTGATTGCTCACACTACTTCCCAGTCTTTTGAACTGAAGCAAAGTATTAGTTTTATAGTTCCTTCTAAAGATTTTTTTTAATTCTCTTTCACACTCAGTAGACCCACTTGTATCTCAGTGGCATTATTGCCTTGCTTGGGGTGAATTGATGAAAAAAAGAGAAAGTGAAAGAAAGAGAGAAGAGGAGGAGGAAAAGAAAGAGAGAAGAGGAGGAGGAAAAGAAAGAGAGAAGAGGAGGAGGAAAAGAAAGAGAGAAGAGGAGGAGGAAAAGAAAGAGAGAAGAGGAGGAGGAAAAAGAAAAGAGGAGGAGGAAAAGAAAGAGAAGGAGGAGGAGGAAAGAAAGAGAAGAGGAGGAGGAAAAGAAAGAGAAGAGGAGGAGGAAAAGAAAGAGAAGAGGAGGAGGAAAAGAAAGAGAAGAGGAGGAGGAAAAGAAAGAGAAGAGGAGGAGGAAAAAAGAAGAAGAGGAGGAGGAAAAGAAAGAGAAGAGGAGGAGGAAAAGAAAGAGAAGAGGAGGAGGAAAAGAAAGAGAAGAGGAGGAGGAAAAGAAAGAGAAGAGGAGGAGGAAAAGAAAGAGAAGAGGAGGAGGAAAAGAAAGAGAAGAGGAGGAGGAAAAGAAAGAGAAGAGGAGGAGGAAAAGAAAGAGAAGAGGAGGAGGAAAAGAAAGAGAAGAGGAGGAGGAAAAGAAAGAGAAGAGGAGGAGGAAAAGAAAGAGAAGAGGAGGAGGAAAAGAAAGAGAAGAGGAGGAGGAAAAGAAAGAGAGAAAAGGAGGAGGAAAAGAAAGAGAGAAAAGGAGGAGGAAAAGAAAGAGAGAAAAGAGAAAGAGAAATCTTGCCAACCATTAAATCACACGATGCACTATAATAGTGTCTACTAAACGAAGTATGTTAACCAATATTCCATCACAAGTCAATATTTATTCATGATAAAGACAAAATACTTTACACCATGAAGATGAAATTAAGATAACATTTAGGTATGTGCAAAAGTTCAGAGCACTTTTTTGGAAAAGACATAGCTGAGAACCATCATTTTGCTGATAACTTTTGCACACACCTAATATTAAATTTAACCGAGTCTAGTACAGGTTCACTAATATAGAGTACTCAGTTGGAATGAAAATAATTACAATAATAATGATAACAAGGAAGTAAATTTTTTAATCCCTACAAAATGAAGGCGTATGGCTGCAGAGTAGTGCATAAAAACAAAAACCACATCAAAGTATATCGAGTGATAACAAAAGAAATAGATCAAAACTATTAAAAATATTAATACAAAGTTTAAATTTTAAATTTATTAGACAAACATAATAAAAGCCATTGTCTATCTGGCAGTGAGGCAACAAAGTTACCAGCAGCATCAAGTTTTTCCACTGTTAGAGAATATTCTGCAAGTGGGGAGGCTAGGAATGGGGGTAGATAACATTTAAAAGGTTTTTTGTTTAAGGGAATTAAACAAAAGATGTTGTTGTACAAAAGCATTTTAGAACACATTCCAGTCAATGCTATTTCACTTTTAACAATTTTTATAAACAAAAATTTGGATTACCAATTGGTGCTAACTCTAGGTGGGACTTTATTATGGATTTGGTTCTTTCCAAAATATTTAACCTAAACAATCAACATATCTTTGATATATTGATAACACTATTAATATATCCCTGTTATCTCTCTCTCTATTATTTTTTTTTGTGTATATATATATATATATATATATATATATATATATATATATATATAACTAGACTAGTTTTTGAAAAACCCTCGAATTTTTGATTTGCTAATCAAATCAATCTCGAGGGAAAAAAGGTTTTAAAAAAGAAAGAGCTACAAACATGAACTTCAGTCGACAAAAAAAAAATCGCACAGATGCAGGTCTGAAGCCCAAAGAAAAAACCCGATACGAGTAACAACTAACTAACAAAAGAGCTCAATACAAATAGAGCAGACCTAGATACATTTAGTGAGCCAGACAAATCTACCTAGGTTTTCCCAAGCGGATCATCAGGGAAAGTTTGGCCAAACTTTCCCTGATGATCCGTTTAGGTGAAACCTAGGTAGGTTTGTCTGGCTCACTAGGTGTATCTATATATATATATATATATATATATATATATATATATATATGTATGTATGTGTGTGGCTGCAGATCATTATTCAAACATATTATTAAATATAACAAACAACGAATATCTATTATGTTTGATCATGAGCCATTCTAAGTTTCATATAGTGGCTTTAGTTTCAGAAGAAAAAGACAAAAACTGTCCAAAATTCGGCTATTTTTTTTTTTTATTATGCTATTCCTCTATCAAAGATGTTGGACAGTATACAAAGTTTAAGATGACTCATGATCAAACATAATAGACATTCATTGTCCGTTATATTTAACAATATATGTTTATGTTTTTTATATATATATATATATATATATATATATATATATATATATATATATATATATATAGTACTTAGTGGAAAGCGCTCAATATCAGTAATAGAGCTAACATATTCAGTTGTATGGATAGTCTTTTCTCTTTTTTATCTTATTTTTTTTTCTATGTGTATGAGTGTGTCATCCCAAATAAACACAGAAGTAAATTCCCCCTCCCACATAGTCAAACAAGCATAAATAGATCCAATTTTAAAAAATAAATGAGTGTGTCTGATGATTGCAAAAGCATGAAATCTAGGTTCACAAACTCATATCCATACAACTGAAAATATATATATATATATATATATATATATATATATATATATGAGAGAGAGAGAGATAGGTAGGTATATAGATAGATACATGTTTTATTGAAGGTGACTGATGGGGCACTGCAATTAAGCTTTTTATTAAATTTTTCTTGCATTCAGACAAGTGGTTTCTTTTCTGGGCAGTGTATGTAAAAACTGTCCAAATGATCTGTCAAATCCAACTGCTTTCAACTGATCTATTAGCCATTATCAATGATGTTTTCTGTTTAACTGAATATGTAGGAAAAATATCTACATATTCAGAAATCACTTGTCTGAATGTAAGAAAAATTTAATTAAAAGCTTAATCTCAGTGCCCTGTCAGTCATCTTCACTGAAACCTTGTACAGAAAAAGTGATTGCAGCCCAAATAGACAATATATAGGGTGTTCCAATAACTTGGACCAATTTTAAATGTAAATTATGATTAAGCATCTAACGAGTTTTTTTCTTTCAGATTTAACAAGTCTGTGGCAATTTCAACCATGAAGAGATTAACAATCAAACAACATGTTAAAGTTATCAAAGCCTATTATGAAAATGGACGTTCAAACAGAAATGCAGTTTGTGCACTTTGCAATTTTTTGGTCAACATAATCAACCGACCGAGAGTGGAATTGGAAAAATTGTTTGTAAATTCAAACAAACTGGGTCGGTGGCAGACGTGAAAACACCATTTGCGTGCTCGTTTACACCGTTCAGCAGAAAACATTGCTGCAGTACATGAGAATGTGGCCCAAAATCCAGACACCTCTATTCGTCATCGTGCACAAGAATTGAACCTCTCCCCAACAACGTTACATCAAATTTTGACAAAAGATTTGTCGCTACACACTTACAAAATTCAATTGACACAATAACTGAAACCATTTGGAGTGCTATACATTCATCAATTGGGTGCACGAACAAAGCCGATGAAGATTTTTCACAAAAAAATCATCTTTAGTGATGAAGCCCATTTTCAATTGTTGCATTTCAGCTCATGAAAACTCAAGGAAAAGCCACTGCATCCACAAAAGGTCACTGTTTGGTGTGCATTTTTTGCTAGCAGAATCATTGGGCTGTATATTTATAAATTTGCACATCCATTTTTGTAATAGGCTTCAATAGCTTTAACACAGTGTTTGATTAATCTTTCCATGGTTGAAATTGCCAAGACATAATTTGTTAAATCTGAAAGAAAAAGAAAAAAAAAAATCATTAAATGCTTGAACTTAATTCACATTTAAAATCAGTCCAAGTTATTTGAACACCCTCTATAACTAACAGTAGATTTTTGACTGTTATATTCGGACTACTGTTCTCATCTTTATTGGTGTTATTAGTTATTGCTGTTACAATGTTTAGGCTGTAGTGTGCCAGGCTTTCCTCAGGTGTACATTGACATGCCGATTTGATAATTTCTGGGATGAGGAGTTAAACACACCTGAAGAAGTTATTGGAACACCCTTGAGGGAGTATTTTGGCAGCAATTTCTCTTGTTTTCACATTTCATTCAAGACCACCGATATATATTTCTCTGTACCTCCACAGATTCAATAAAATCGTGACAATACATGATGAAAAAATGCTCTAAATTTAATAAAACAAAACTTTATCATCAAAGTCTTTATATTATTATTATTAAGAGGAAAGACCAAAGGATTTTTTGATTATTAAATTATAATTTTTTTGATTCTTTAGAACATTTTGGTTAAAAATTGTTTTTCTTGCATCAAAGATTAGTATAGAAAATTTTAATATCTTTTTTGTAGTGAAAAACATTTTGATTTGGAAATTCTTGCAAAAATGTAATAATTGTTGAATGTTAATGAAATTTTCAGGATTTATTCACATTTTAGAAATGTTTCTTCTTTTGAGAAAATCTACATAAAAACATTTTTTTTCACATTATTCCCCCAATACCACCACTTATTCAATTTTATGAAATTGGCTAGAAATTAATTTTTGTACCGTTTAATGTTGATATTAGTTACATGCCAAACTCCTTGAGAATTAAATTTTTTTTTTCTGTTTTAATAAAACAGGATCTCCTAGTTACCGAAAATCTGCTCTGAATCATAAAATAAAAAAAATGGAATAAAAGTAAGAGATTATTTAATTAGCAAAGCTTTTAATTGCTTTTGTCTTACAAAATCTGTTGGACACAATTGTCTTAAAAAAAATTTTTTTTCAATGAAGAATGAATTTTTACAAGAATTGTTTTCAGTTTAAAAAAAAAAAAAAAAATGATTAGTATAATTTAGAAAGTTTTAACTCTTAAAATTCTGTATTAATTTGTACTAGTTAGGTCATATTGAATGAAGTAAAAACTTTATTTACTAATCATGCTTATTATAAAACCCAGGTTGTGTATCTGTACGTTTATATACTGGATCGGATTTCCTACATTTTTCAACCGATTTCAACAAAACTTCACAGGACTACGTAAAATTACGTTGCAGTGGTTCTGACAGCACCAAAAATTGGAAAAAAACAATTGTTTTTGCATGAAATCAATTTGAAAACACGATTAAGAGGCATCACAAGAATGAAAGGGGGACAACTCATATCGAGTTATACTTATTATAAAACCCAGGTTGTTTTTGTGTGTGTGTGTTTGTGTGTGTTCATTTATATATGGGATCGGATTTCCTACATTTTTCAAACCGATTTCAACAAAACTTCACTTTTTTTTTTTTGGCAGGTAGTGTTTCTTATTGTCTTGCATTTTTTTTTTTTTCTTTTATTTTTACATTCAGAATGTTTTAAAAATTCCATTTACAAGACAATTGTTTATAATAAAATTCTATTCAATCAGTAGACTCATAACGATTGAAAACAATGTTTTTGTTTGAGTTTGACCAATTCGTAAAAAAAAAAACTAAGACGTGTGTCCGTCAACCTTAAACAATAATCTTTGTCAATTTTATTTTTCAGTCTTTATGATGGTTGATACTTGATTATTCTCTTACTGTTACATCCCCGGGCAATGCTGGGCTCTACTGCTAGTCATTAATAGAAAAGCTTATTACAATATAGTGACTCCCAGCATTTTAAAAAAATAATTTTTAGTGATTTAAAAAAAGAAAAAAAAAAAAAAGAGGCCCCTT